AACCGCCGACAGCACAGAGAGAGCTAAATGAGCTGGGTAGAGAGGGGCTGCCCTGCTCGCAGGTGGTGGTCCTGTCGGGGAGAGGGGACACGAGACTTCTTCCCCGTGGGACAGCTCGGAAGGGCCGTCATAGGAGTGTGACAACGAAGAAGCTGGTTAGAAAAAAAGCAGAGCTGGGCAGATGCTGCCCCGGTGGATTGCGAGGATTGTGCTTACACCGGGAGGCTCGAGGTCGGTCTCCCCTGCCTGCAAGACCCCGTGTTTTTCCCCAAAGCCTGGGAGTCAGGTGCCGCTTGACATGATAGCGGCACCCGGGGCGGCGGTGGGTCTTGGAGAAGGTGCCAAGGGGCACGGGCGAAGTAGGGGGACCCAAGGACTGGGCCTGGGCAGCCGCCGAAGACCTGGGACTCCTTCCTGGTCAGGGCCCGAGGCGCCACCGCTCCCGACACGTCGAGGGGCATTGCCCGAGGAGGCAACGGGGCCAGGGGAGGGTGGAGGCTGTTCGCAGAGGCCACTGGGCTACTCCTGACGCAGGCTGGCTTCCCAGCACTTCCGTGGGGCTCCCCGCTCGGCCCGGCCTGCCAGGATCGCGGGGCTTGGAAACGGGGCCGACAGGGTTTGCCCATTTCCGTCAGAAGCAGGGCAGCTAACCCGAGGTATATGGGAATGCTCCCAGGTATCCCTTAAAGATATCTCCTGTGGCGGCCTCGGAGTGTTTTAGCCTCCTCCTCTCCAAAGGAGTCCAAGACAGGAACCACCGTTTCCTGATAGCCCTGGTAATACCAGGCATACCGGCAGTCTCCTAACAACTCCCGGGGAGGGAAGCTGACATGACGGCTGGGACAAGACAGCCAGTGGTCACCTGTCCCTTGCAAGAGACCAGCGGACTCGTCTTGCTCTCCACTGCGGCTGCAGCGCCAGGCTGCCGAAGTGAGTTATCACCTGGGAAATTAGGCACTACTACCCACTTCTGCGGGAAGGAAATTACTGGTCTCGAATTTTCCTTAGTTTATGTGCCTAGGCTTCCAAGTAGGAGGGAAAAGGAGCCTTTAGTTTCTTGCTAAAGAAATTTCCGTGAATTCCCGATCAGAACGACATCTCTCTGCTGCCAAGCAGCCCTCTTTCGAGTGTGTTCACATTAGGTATGATATTCATAATAATAACAACTCCGAGAATTATGAGACAAGAGCACGTTTGACAGTGTTTGAGAAATTCAAATACAGCTGCATCGGCTTTGTCTCTGGTTCAGTCACATTTATTTCCCCAAGCTAGGCAGACAGCCTGAGTGAAGCATGACAATGAGGTTTGTAAATAGCAAATGGAAGGGTTTACTGGGTTGTTGGGCTTATGTTGTGTTTTGGTTTTTTGGGGGGGGTTTTTTGTTGTTTTTTTTTTTCTTCCAGCACTCCCTGTTTGATTTTATTCTCAATCCAAATAACCTTCCTCAGTGAATATTTCAGACAAGAGAATGTGAGCGGGAGGGAACGAGGGGGGCTCATAATTGCAGGTTCCCTTTGGAGCTGGAATTAGAACGCTGACGGCGTGTGTTGCAGAGGAAAGGTGCAGAGGCAGCCTGACTACAGGACGGCTGTGTTGTCAGTGCCATAGCGTTTATTTACAGCCAAGCACTTGAGAGCAAATGACACTTCGAAAGCGCGAAAGTTAGGGGCCCTACCTTCTGTGCCCGAAGTGCCGGGGTCCCCTGTAGGAGAGGGGCTCAGGCCCAAAGACCCACTCCCTCCACTGGGACTCCGCAGTCGCTCAAGGAACACCCCGTGAGCGATGCTGCCTCTGGGCAATTTCACATTCGCATCTTTCCTATTGAGACCTGCGCGTCCTGAAGCGGGGCTGGGCGGGGGGAAGGTCAGCTGGAGACGGCTGGAGAGTAAAGAGATGAACATTAAGACAACTCATTTCTATCGGTTACTCTTGTCATGTTCAAGTGCCCCGTACTTGACACTCCGCACAGATCCGTACTTCAGGGAAAGCACTGAGGATGTGATGAAATTATTAATTTCTTTTTTTTACACCAGAATCCTCTCCCTTATTCAAGTCAGGTTGCCGCTGCTACGGACCTTTCCTGCTTTCCCTGGGTGAGAAATTTATTCCTTCTTTCTTTTATCCTTTATCAAGTTCTTACTCTCACCCTCTCCCTACTGTTGTCAAAAAAACAAACAAACAAAAAAAAAACAACCAAACAAACAACAAAAAACAATGCGCGCATACACACACAAAAACACACAATTCAACAACCACCCAATATGCTCCAACTGCTCAGATCAGTTAAAATACATTTGCAAAAATGTCTGCAGCTCTTCAAAACTTTCTCTGCTGCCTTATAAAAGCCACCTTCCTGGTGGGAGACTAGGGACAGCTTGTTTATTTGTTTCGGGTTGTCTCGAAACTCTCAGCCTGTCGCTTGTTATTGCTTAGCGTGCCCGTCTCCTCACGGCCGGCCTCCCTGGGAGATGCTGTGGTCCTGGCAGCTGGATCCGAGCCTCTGAACACTTCACCTTATGCACAAATAACCCCAAAGTTTCCCGCATAGACTATTGTGCTTCGCTAATTTTGGCTGAACATACCAGTAACTATTTTTCTTGGACTATTTTTAGCCTCCGCTGCTTCAGCGAAAGCCTTTTCTTGTGGCTGTCATTGCAGTCCCTATTCATGAGGGAGGGCAGGAGACGAACGCCGGAACCCTTATCTTTTCCTGGGAGGGTAGGAGAGAGGAACGAAGGGAAAGCGTTGTCGCTTCGGTGAACCCCTCATGGAACAGTCGAAGCCTGTCCCTCTCTGGAAGCCAAGGAACGAGACTGCAGTAATAGAATACAAACATGTGTTTTGTTTTCCATTAAGTCGATAGACCAGACAAGGTCTGCCCCGGGGAAAAGATGACTTGAGCTGTTAATGAGAGCTGACACTAGGATTTAAATAGTGAAGGCTCCTTTCGCCAGCAGTGTCTTCACAACATTGTTTCTTTTTTTTTCTTCTCTCCCCCTCCTCTTCCTCACAGGTCCGCGAAGTGCCCCTGCTGTGAGTGCAGGGACGGTGCCGGCCCGCGGGGACATCTCTCAGAGGGAAGATGGCAGGGACTGCCACTCCTGTGTGTCTGCTTTGTTTTCATGGAGGGCTTTTGGAGGGGGGAGGGGAAGACTAAAGTGCTTATAATTCTTTTCTCAGCGTTCCGTGTGCATAAACGCAAAACCGACGTGCGTTTTGTACCGGTACCAACACCGCACTGAAAACTTTGGGGCGTTTGAGGGGGGGACACAGAGGTGCCTGACGCTTGGAAAGCCGACAGGAAGCGGCGTGGCGCTGGGCAGGGGGTGCGGGCCGTGTCCCCCCGCTGCCGGGCGGGCCGGGCAGCGGCCGCTCCGCCGGCTCCGGCCGCCCCTGGCACGGCGGGGCAGCGGCGCGCCTGGCGCTGGCGGCTCCCGGCCGCGAGATGGCGCTGGCGCTGTTTGGATCGCCCTCCCATACCTCCCGCCGCCGCGCTCCCGGCCCGGGGCGGCCTCCGGGCACCGCTCGACTCAGTCCGACACGGACGGAACCGGACAGCCCTCGCCCCTCCGCTGGACATCGTTCCAGGGACAGCGAGGCTTTCTGCTGCCGCGGCCTCGGCTGCCTTGGCTGGCGGTGTGGGAGAGGGGCGGGGGGCTGCTAGGTGAGAGGAGTTTGAGTGTGAATTACAAAAGAAAAACGGTCTCTATGGACGACCCTGAGGAGGTTCGAGGTGGGAACCTCTGTAGCGTGTCCCCGCGGAGAAGTAAGCAGTCTCTGCTTTGGCCGGCTTGCAGAGGGCAAAGCATTGGGAGTGCTTGGATCCCAGTGGCAAAGGCTGCTGCGCACGGGGCTCCGAAGCCGCCAGAGGCAGATGAGACGCGCGAAACCGGGGGTTGGCCATGGGAAAAGCTCCCGAGCTGAGCATTTCTGTTGTGTGAAGTGGCCGCATTAGCAGCCCGAACACGTAGTGGAAAGGCTGACATCTGCGGTTTGGTACGAGGCACCCGAGAAATGACAGACCTCATGGTTCAGAGGGACGCACCCGCCTCGGCTCCCGGCAGGGAGGGACCCACTGGGCCCCGGCGGTGCCTGAGGGAGCGGCTAGCCCCAGGGAAGGAAACCTCCTCTCCTGAGCTTTCCTCAAGTCTAAAAACAGCAATAAGACACAGTCTATAGATTTAGAACATTCACCGTCAGTGCCCAGAAGTGAAAAGATGGAGGGAGACCTTTGGTATAAACTTTGAGCCTGATTCCAGTGGAAGCACAAATAACAACAGTTACCAGGTTTTTGTCCCCAGTTTACAAAATAACACATAAAATCGAGGTTGTACCATGGGTCATTTTCCTCGGCTGCTGCGCCAACGCGGGTGTGCTTTGGACTCCTCACTGCATAGTTTAATCCCCCCCTGAATTTCAACAAGCCCATTCACATCACTGGCCTCAGGTAGAAAGAAACCAGAGCTACTTTATTTTACAAGTGCTGACGAAACCCGCCTGGGCAGGAGAGACCCTTGGGAGCCGGTAGTGAAGGTGCGGTCGGACGAAGCTCAGCTTCGCCGCACGGCAGGAGGGACCCGCTCGGGTCGGTGTGGGGTTCACCCCGCTATGAACACACATACGCACACACTCCCCCGGAGCAGAAGTTTGGAGATTTGTTGAGGGGGAAAGATATATAAGAAATTAAAATAGGCAAAGAAAAAAAAATCGTTCGGGATTAAACCCGATTTTTTTTTTTTAAAGTCCCTAGAGAGTAGAGTCCTGAAAGTTTCTTCTAGCTTTCCTCGTATTTTCTAGTAGTTTGTACTTTGTACTGGGTTATTGGAGTTGCATCACGGAGGGAATAGGCCATCCTCACGGATCTGTGTTTGTATGGTCAAATAGTAAGGGATACTTTTTCTACTGCAATAGGTTTCTGAGCCCTTGCTGGGCTATGGCTAAATAGCACCTTTAAGTACCAAGCTATGGGGCAAAGGATGCATTGTAAGGACAGATGAGAGTATGCTGGGTATAGCTGATATTTATTGAACTATCCGAAAGAACTGAAAGACAAAGAAATGTTCTGTATTCCATGACACAATTGTTGCACAAACTGCCTTTAATCAAGTTGTTTTGTTTACAGGGCTCTTTTGCAAGCATCTTCCACACGCTTGGTGGAAAGATCTCATGGGCTGTTCTGCATTTTCAGGGACGACCAAGTCAATCCTGAGAGGAAAAAAAAGTCGCTTTAGAAGGAGAAAAATTGCTACTTCTTAGAGTTCAATTTATTTCTTTAAACGCCGTATCTCAGAGAAAAGGCCTCCTGTAACAGATTCCTAGGTCATGTCAAATTATAACGAATAGAATCGCAAGCAGCAATTGCAAAGAAAATATTGTGATCGGTGTTGTGGGTAAAATCGGAGCCGGGTTTATAGAGGAATATTAACTCAGATTAATTTTTTTTTTTTTAAGTCAACAGTGATTAGATAGGCGTTCAGCCTAAAGATCTTTTCCTGTAGATGGCGTCCTTTGGGTACTAAGTAATCAATAATAGTATAGTCATACTCAGGAGACTTTATTAAGCTTTGGATAGTAAAATAATTAATATGGTTTTAGTTATATTTTAATTCAAAGTGAAAACTCCTTGATTTATCGTAAGCAAAAGTGTGTTTCTCCTTCACGTGGATGCAAATAAATACTTGTTGAATAAATAAGTTGTTTCTGAACATTTTGTTGTCAAAGTGTTAAATGTCCCCGTCATTTTTATTCAAACACTAACATGATTACAGCCAATTATATATTCACCAGTGTTCTTTATTTTAGAGTAATTGTACTTGTCACTAATAAAACAGAGACATAATGGATCGCTACTGTTCTGAATTTTAAAGCAATTTTCTGTAATTTGATTGAATTATACATCATCTCCACTACTTTTTTATTTCTATATTTTGAAATACTATTTTCTTGAAAATTGCAGTTCTATTCCTGTTTTGTTGCTCCTGAAGTAACGAAACCTTCTGCAACATTTATAAATAGAGCCTCGTCCCTTTTGAAATGTGGAAAATCATAATTTCAGCCCAAACATCCTGAAAGCTTTAGACTGAAAATCTGAAAGTCCGGAGAAGTGCCTCAGCCAGACCGCAGGACTCAATGAGGTGTCCCCCTCGGAAATGAGAAGCAGAACATAAGCAGAGAGGAAAAAAATTCCCACGTGCATAAGACGGATTGATGACTTTATTGCAATGATTTTGGTGAGCTTCTTGTTCCTCAAACGTAGAAACATGTCAATTCAGTTGCTGGTATTTACCATGGAAGAATAAAGACACGGGGAAAATACAACGTCAATTATATTCCTTCAAGAATTTAAAGCCATCATGTACTGTCCTTTCAGGTGGCGAATATAGGTAAGAAGCTCAGGAATGACTTGGCTATCTTTAGGAAAAGACAATAGAGACGTAGAATAATACAGAAGTACGTGGAGACACCGTACACCTGTAGAAAAATTGCGCTGTCTTGTTCTGCTGCTCCTCGGATTGTTTCCCTGAGAATGAGCTCTCAGATGATTGGGTTTTTGTTGTTGTTTTCCAAAGCCGAAAGCATGCCTTTAATTTAGCAATTGTATCAACCATCAGCGCGGTGAGATATGATCCGAGTTGTCGACAAACACAAATCAAAAAATTATATAAAGGCTTCCACAAGTTAATTTCATATGACAAAACAACAGATAAAGTTAAACTGTCGTTTGCAAACCGTGCGATTGCGTAAAAAGGTATTTCTTAGGTACAGTCAAACACGAACGTTTTCTCTGCGATTCTGTAAGGTGTAACTAAGGGAAGGTGCGGGAATGCGGGTGGCTCACTGTGAGATGCTTTCAGTGAAGCTACAGCGGAACACGATCCCGACGCTCAGTGAGAACCACGCTTCTTGCTTTTGCGGATACCCTCTCTAATATAGCCACAGAAATTAGATTGTAGTCGCCTTTGAAGGAAGAAAAAAAAATTAAAAACCCTATTTACGAGTATCGTTTTGTGAATTCCAACGTGTACAACGAGTTCTGAGCTTTTCTTTGCCCTTTTACCGGTGTTTTGAAATGAATGTGAAAATAAAGTGTAATGTCATCCTCTGCGATATTCTGCTAATAGACAAATGGAAATTACTTATTTGTTGGAGTTTCTAAAGCTACGGCATGATTTCGTTATTTAAGTGCAGTTTATAACTCGATTATAATCAACATTCTTTTCTAAAGACTCCTAGGAAGCATAACCTCTCTGTGTGTGAGTGCCCATGCGAATGCCCCATTTAAAGACGGAGAGAAGGAAACACACAAAGGGGATGCATCCCGGGAGAACTCTTTCTATGTTTTTCCTCTCCCAGGAGAATCTGTCTACAGCCACTTCTCTTTCTTGATCAAATTATTGTCGAGGCAAAACTACAAA